TTTTTTTTTTTTTTTTGAGACAGAGTTTTGTTCTATCGCCCAGGCTGGAGTGCAATGGTGCGTTCTTGGCTCACCACAACCTCTGCTTCCTGAGTTCAAGCAATTCTCCTGCCTCAGCCTCCTGAGGAACTGGGATTACAGCCCATGCGCCACCACCACGCCCCGGCTAATTCTGTATTTTTTAGTAGAGACAGGGTTTCTCCATGTTGGTCAGGCTGGTGTCGAACTCCCGACCTCTGGTGATCCTCCTGTATCAGCCTCCCAAAGTGCTGGAATTACGGGTGTGAGCCACCACGCTGGGCCTTATTTTTGTACTTTTAGTAGAGATGAAGTTTCACCATTTCAGCCAAACTGGTTTTGAACTCCTGGTCTCAAGGGATCTTCCCACCTCAGCCTCCCAAAGTGATGGGATCACTGGCATGAGCCACTACACCCAGCAGGACTATCTTTTAAAATTCTGGATTAGTATTTATATAGAGGATACAATATGAGGTCTAGAATTTCCTATACTTCTGGGGTGGCGGTATGAAGGGTAACAAAGTAATATCAGCAAAATACGGATGATTAAATTTATTTATTTTATTAATTCATTTTGAGACAGAGTCTCACTTTGTCACCCACACTGGAATGTAGTGGCATCATCTCAGCTCACTGCAACCTCCGTCTCCTGAGTTCAAGCATTTTTCCCACCTCAGCCTCTCGAGTAGCTGGGACTACAAGGATACACCACCATGCCCGGCTAATTTTTGTATTTTTAGTAGAGATGGGGTTTTGTCATGTTGGTCAGGCTGGTCTCGAACTCCTCACCTCAGGTGATCCACTTGCCTCAGCCTCCCAAAGGGCTGGGATTATAGGCATTAGCCCAGTACTGTGTCCAGCCTAATTAAGTTTATATAAGAGCTTATTTTACTATTTTTTAAATTCAGGATCACCCGCTCCAGGAATTCCCAACTGCACTGGATTTATGTTTCTATCCATCTCCTAAAATTGAGCTCACAGTTCATCTCTGATCCTAGCTCCTAGTACTATTTATAGTCCTGGCAGGCATGCAACAAGGATAACAAAGAGTTTGGTGGTCGATGACAAGTTTTGAAGCTGTGGTAGGGAGAGATGTGACTGTATGAATACAATGTATTGAGGGAAACAGGCAGTGGGAGAAGTGGAAAATGGAGGCAGGAGGTATAAGTTGAAACCAGGATAGTAAACTAGGAAACTAGTTAAACAGCTTAGGTGTAAAGTTTAGATTTAAAATGGTAGAATGAGGAATAGAAAAGGCTATGACAGCTATGAAGCAAGAATCAACAGGTCTTACAGAGTCTCACCTTCATTTAACAAAGGTAATTTCCAGAAATTAAAGCTGTGCTAAACATAGAGTCCTCCTACAGATGTAGAAAACCCCAGCTCACCTCATCATAGATACTCTCAATCTCATTGAGTAAGCTCTTAGACCTCAGGACCTTGGTGTCATTTTGTTTAAAGTTGATCCCCTGGTGGTCCAGAGACTTCAGGTAGTATTTCTCATTTTGTTCTCGCCATACTTTGTTAAAGCCTCTCTGAGCTTCTCGCCATTCTTCCTCTTTCATCTTCAACCTGGTGAAGTGGGAAGGGACGGAAACAACACATGGGAATTCAGAGGGTTTAGAACAAAGAAATCTGCCAGGCTTACTTTATTTCAAGAAAAGTTAAAGCTATATTAGGTCTGTCAAAATTATTGGCAACTTGGGATAAATGTTATCAAATCTGTCTTGAACTCTGTTTCATGAGGAAATTACTCATCTAAGACTTATTTTGGGGAAATGATTTATCTCAAAGTCAAATAATTTCCCTAGAACAGTTACTTATCAAACAGCATTCCAAGGAATACCTTTGAGATGTAAGGAAGTATTCCTTGAAAAAAACAGTTCTCTTCTTTTGCCAGCAAAAATAAAGTTAAATACGTTTCTTTGCTGCAGGATTTTGCAAAATGTTCACAATGCTAATTAAGACATAGAAGGTCCAACAGCAGGGAACGTGCGCAGTAATGTTCCTCTGGATACAGTCTGGAAAGTTCTGACCAGAACTGATTTTAATAACCCAGAAGAGAACAGACTAAGACCAAAAAAACAGCACTAAAATGGAAGAATCACCAACATCTCAAAAGCCAGAGTTAAATGTTACAGGCAAGAAGAAACCATCAATCTGTGCCAGCTCTTGAGGGGAAGATGAAGGGCAAATAAAATTTGGGTATTTGTCAACCAAGCAGCAAACAAGAATTAATTTTTACCAGATGATACTTAGAACCAAGCTCACAGCAAAGGATTCAGTGTGGTCAAGAATGACACAGGGCTGGGCATACTGTGGCTTGTGCTATAATCCCAACACTTTGGGGAGGCCAAAGCAGGAGGACTCCTTGAGCCCAGAGTTAGAGGTCAGCCTGGGAAACATAGCAAGACCTTGTCTGTATTAAAAAAAATTAACAATTAGCTGGGTGTGTGGTGGTGCATGCCTGTAGTCCCAGCTATTCAGGAGGCTGAGGTAGCAGGATCACCTGAGCCTGAGAAGTAGAGGCTGCAGTGAGCTGTGTTCACACTACTGCATTCTAGCCTGGGTCAAAAAGTGGAGACCCTGTCTAAAAAAAAATAACAAAAAAAAAAAAAGATTTTAAGTTAATCCTGCGTGGCAGGAACATGGGTGGTAATTTTCTTTTCTGTATTTTAAAATACTCCCTCAAACATACACACAGAGCCTTCCACCATGAACCTACAAGATTTGTTCTCTAATGTTGGTCACAAAGAACTCCCAAAAGAAGTCATTCTGCACGTGAATTCCAACAACCAGGACTGGGGAGAAAGAGAGGTCTCATGGGACAACCAGGTTGAAAATGAGAGCCTTATTTAGTGGGACACCAACACAGTAGTGAAGTACACTAAAGCACCGAGAGCACATTTGCTCAGGTACCTTTTAAGGACAATTGGGACAGCGATGGAAGGATTCTTTCTCAGACCATCAATGATGTCAGCTGCTTTATCAGCATATATCCTCTGGAGTGCTTTTCTATGGATGACTTCTGACGTGCCCCCAAGGGTGTTGTCCAAGCGAAATTTGGCTTGTTCCTCAGCAGACAAGCGGGAAAGCTTCTTCTGTATTGCTTCCAGAACCCGGATGGTTGCCAGATTGGTTTCTAAAACTACATCAAGCTGAAGAGGAAGACAAAGGTATGCTTAGGACCCAAACCAGAATAGAATAGAGTAGTGGTTAGACGAATAAGGTAGGGAGTTAAACTCCTTGGATTTGAATCCTGGTTCTGCCTTACTGGCTACATAAGGCTGTTTCGATAACAGCACCTATTACTCTAATAAGCTTGTTTTTGGATTAAATGATATAATCTACATAAAGTATTTAGCACAATACATGGCACATTAAGAACCATAGGATTGAGTCTGTAGTCTATAAAGAGAAAAAAAAAAAAAAGAACCATAGGATTAAGTTGGATAAATGGTAGTTATTACCTCCACCACCACCAATGTGTGCCTTGCTCAGAACTACCGATCTCGCACCAGAGGAACCTAACAAGAGATGACTTTACTGATACTTTTCTCTGAACTTTCCTGAATTGCTAAGATCTGTTATGAACAAACAATATCAGAACAATCCCAAAAGACCTCTGTCTTGAGAGTTTTTTGGTTTAACTAGAAATATTTAAATATATTCAAATACTTAAAATATTCAATAGCCTTGTTCCGCATCCAGTAATAATAAAAGCAGTGACTATCATACACTAAGGAGTTCGCTGTTGCATCTGTGGGTAATCATTTAAATTCTTATTGAACTCCTGGCAATCTTTGATTCTACTTTTTCCCTAGCATAAACTAAGGTTCTTTAAATGAGGAACAGAAAATGAAGTAAATGGGCCAGGTGCGGTGGCTCACGTCTGTAATCCCAGCACTTTGGGAGGCCAAGGTGGGTGGATCACGAGGTTAGGAGATTGAGACCATCCTGGCCAACATGGTAAAACCCATCTCTTTTTCTTTTTTTTT